TATTAATTGATAAATATTTGCAGGGTTCATTTAATGGTAAATAATTGCAGGGTGCATTAATTGATAAATATTTGCAGGGTGCATTAATTGATAAATATTTGCAGGGTGCATTAATTGATAAATAATTGCAGGGCGCATTAATTGATAAATAATTGCAGGGTGCAATCTAGAAGGAATATTTGCAGGGTGCATTTTTGGCATCAACTCTCGCAAGCGCCCAGGTAGCGTTGGCCAGACGGCGCCGCGATCGTTGCCGTTTATTGTGGCTGCTGCAGCTTTCCCTGCGCCGAGCTGGTCGGGTCTCAGCTGCTGACGGCGACGGGGACGTTTCTCCATCCCCAGCTGGTCCTGGATTCGCAGAAACGTGTTTTCTCTTGGGGATTTGGAGGCTACGGGAGGCTGGGCCACGCCGAGCAGAAGGATGAGATGGTTCCACGGTTGGTCAAGCTCTTTGACTTCCCGGGACGCGGCGCGGTGCAGATCTACGCCGGCTACACGTGTTCCTTCGCCGTCAGCGAGACAGGTTGGGATTTGGGTGTTTTTTAAAGCAAATGGATGGTGATTTGGGGGTGTTTTGGGGGTGTTTGGGGTGTTGCTGTAAGTTTGATGGGCAGTGTTGGGGGTTTGCAGGTGGTTTGTTTTTTTGGGGTGCTACCAACACCTCCCGGGAGTCCACTATGTACCCCAAAGCCGTGCAGGACCTCTGCGGCTGGAAAATCCGCAGCCTGGCCTGTGGGTAAGTCCAAACCCCTTCCTTAAAAAAAAAAACAAACCAGAAACCCCAATTTCCTGATATTTTGGGGGTGCAGCCACCTGTGGGGTGGTTGGGGGGGGGATATGGGGGTCACCCTGCCTTTCACCCCAATGCAGGAAGAGCAGCATCATCGTGGCGGCGGATGAGAGCACCATCAGCTGGGGTCCCTCACCCACCTTTGGGGAACTGGTAAGAAGGATTTACTGGGGATCCCCCAACCCCTTGACACCCCAAAATCCCCCGGAGCTGCTCATGGGAGGGGCCAGCTGCTTCCTGTCCCCCCACACATTGATTTTTTCCCTCCCTTCTCCATGGGATGCACGTGGCAGGGCTACGGGGACCACAAGCCTAAATCTTCAACAGCTGCCCAAGAGGTGAAGACCCTGGATGGGATCTACACGGAGCAGGTGAGTGGGGGACCCTGCAGGACACCCCTGGAGGGGGGGTGCATGGACCACTCCCCAGTTTAAATAAATACAGTGGCTGAGGCCGTACACAACTCATCACACCCATGAGGTGCTGGAGGGAGGGTGGATAGAGCCCCCTCCTTAAATAAATCCAGTGGCTGAGGTTGTACACAACTCATCACACCCACAGGGTGCTGGGGAGGGTGCATAGAGCCCCCTCCTTAAATAAATCCAGTGGCTGAGGCCATACACAACTCGTCACACCCATGAGGTGCTGGAGAGGGGGCGTGGAGCCTCCTCCTTAAATAAATATGCACCCATGAGGTGCTGGAGGGAGGGTGCATAGAGCCCCCTCCTTAAATAAATCCAGTGGCTGAGGTTGTACACAACTCATCACACCCATGGGGTGCTGGAGAGAGGGTGCATAGAGCCCCCTCCTTAAATAAATCCAGTGGCTGAGGTTGTACACAACTCGTCACACCCATGGGGAGCTGGATGGAGGGCTCATGGAGCCCCCATTTTAAATACATACAATGGCTGAGGCTGTATGGAACTCATCACACCCGTGGGTTTACTGAAGAGACGGTGGGTGTAGCTCCTTCTTAAATAAATATGGTGGCTGAGGCCGTACACAACTTGTCACACCCCTGGGGTGCTGGAGGGAGGGCACATGGAGTCCCCTCAAATAAATCCAGTGGCTGAGGTCATACACAACTCATCACACC